TTACTATTGTAACCGCTTTATTTATACATTTTAAGGTAGATTAAAGGATGATTTTGATCATACTGCATGTGGCAGTTAAAATTATTAACCTTTAAAATAAAAACGTATAGTTCATTTGCTCATATTTTTCTATAAGCTCGACCTAGGACATAAATGTTTTTACGACATACTAAGGCAGCGCTTTAGTTTGGCAAATTTTTTATATTAAAGCTGAATACCTTATCATGTTACCTTATATAGTCAGGTATAGCTCACACCATCTATTATATTGTCTTGAGCTGCTTCGGTTTCAGACTTTTTCCGCTTTTAATCTTTCTGGTACTATTTTATTCCTCTAAATGTCAAGTTTTATTTCCGTTTGTAATCTTTCTTGTTGCTCTCTTCGCAAGTCTGTAAAGTTTTTAGATTTCCTTGGAAAAGCTTCTCTTCTCTATTTTCCGCCATCATATTCTTATTATTTAGCGATCGGGTCGTTAAACCGTAATGCCAAAATATGTTACTAGTATCATACGTGAGGAGAAGCCTAACTTCGCTTAGTCATCCTTCTGATATTAAAATACTTTGTAAATAGAATCGCATATTCCTCGCCATATTTTCCAGAGTCTGTAAAAACAGCCGCATTTTGAGAACCTGTTCGAACAACCTCTTCTTACTTAAAATTCCAAGTTAGTAGCTAACTCTCCATATTATTCGAGTGAAGATTTTATTGGCTTTACTCAATCAGAGATTGTTTACTCTTACGACTTTTTCTTATTTTAATCTAATGGTATGGCTTTATTCCTATACGAGCGGAGCTTTGCCCACAAAAGTAGGAGATTCCAACACGAGTGGTCCATCACAGACAATTATCTTAATTTTTTGTCGAAAATTCACTTCTCTATACTTGATGTGGTATTATCATTTTCTACCTTACTATTTAGTCATTCCAAATTTTTTCGCAATTTATGAATCCCCATAATATTGGGAAAATTAAAGGTTGCATTATGCTATTTGGGGCTTATCGTTAGTATAATATATCCCATATTTTCACTATTTTAAAAATTACTGAGAGGTCCCTTCTGAATAACCTTTAGAGTGGATTAAATACATCAGCCCGATTTTACATTGCTTTTTAATTCTTTGGTCATGCTTTCTTTGGATGCCTGACTATAGCCTGTATGCTGACTAAGTTGTGGTAATTCGGTTTTCTCTTCACTTTTATTGAAGCAATTCGAAAAGGTAATTTTATTGTTGTCTTAAAGGTAAGATGTGGTAACTTATCGAAATAGATGAGAATTGACATTTAAGTATTTCCGTGCAGAGAAAATATTATAAAATATAATTGCCAGTGAGTGTTAGCATTACTTAAACGCCATCTCATCTTAGCGATTTTATATAATCTTGCAATAAGAGCTTTAGGAGTCGTGCCTAACTTTATCAATAGCTAATTTGCTTTTATTTATATCATTTTCTATTCCGTCCTTACGTATTTAATCGTTCAAGCTATTATAGATTAATGATTTTTTTAAATATAATTTTCCTAAAAGATGGATCTAGCTTTTTATTAATGTTTGGGTTTTTTACTTTCAATTCAGACTAAGCCTTTTGAGAATAGGATTATATTATTATTATATATTTATAGGCGTGCGTGCTAGTAATATTAGCTGACAGTTATTCTAGGCTCCCTATATTTGCTTTCTTTAGCATAAACAGGTCATAGGGATTCACTCTGCTTCCTTCGTTCTTAGAGTTTGTAAGATTTCTCTATTTTGTCTATTTTTTAAAATTAAGAAACCGTGATACCGAATATTTTTTATCTTCTTTTCTATAGCTGCTTCCTTTTTCCGATGGCCACTCTTACGGACAATCCTGAATCAGTTAAGTCTTATCCTCGCCTTACAACTGCCCTTCGAAGTTTCACCAAGCTCAGTCTTTCATCTTCAATCGACCCTTTTTCTAATTATTTGGATCCTATTCTTATATCCAAAAAGCGTGCGCAGACAAGTACTTCTAGATGCGTACGCCAAAGCTTCTTGACTCTTACTGGAATACGCAAGCATCTTTTAACCTTAGTGTCTGATGAGAAAGTGGTTCGAAACTTTGACGAGCTATTGAGTAGATTCTTTGAAAGCTGCCAACTCCTTATTGGAAGAGAATCAGCCAATCTGGAGGAGACTGAAATACTCTGTGTTCTGCTCGTGTTTGTTCATATTGGTGCGCAATTTCTAAAGCTAAATGATGAGGGTGTACCTATGAATCAGATTATCGGACACTTTAGCCTTAAGCGTCTTCAAGCGAAGATTTCTAATATCCTTGGTGGAATCGGTGCTTCAGACCCCGCAAGCGCGTGGAACCTCGTACAGACACGTCTGCAGGCTCTACTGTTCTTTGATTCCATTGCTTCTCACACTCTGACTTCTAAAAAACTCGTAGATCTAATGCGCATGTTCAGAAATGCCGTCAGAAATGACCAACAGGCCTCTACAAGTCAGACACCTACCTCTGAGGATATAGAGGCGCAACATGAATATCTTATCTGTTGTAATAGAGACAAGTACAATTTACCTCAGGAGAAAGAAAGAAATCCATATAAAACGTCAAAAGACTTTCTGAAGGAAGCAGCAGCCTATCTGTATGACTCAATTTTTGCTCCTGCATGTGATCTTTCTTGGGATTCAACGTATCCTATGTCTCAAAGTAATGGGGCTACAGCTGCGACGGATGCATTAACGTGAGCCAATTTGTATTTTATTATAAACGAAAAGATTATTTTCTTGGGTCTGTAATAGCTTATCGAATTTTTAAATTATGTATGCATGTTAATAAGTCTATTCGAGGTATTTATGGCTTCACACATTTGATGGC